AAAGGTCAAAAAATCTCTGTGATCATGGTAAGAGGGAATTGAATCTTTCTTCAGTACAAAATAAAGACAGCATACATTAAAATATGTATGTACATATATGTATGTATATGTAGCACAAGGTGGATTTTGGTATGTTTTGAAGCATTTAACAGCATTTAAGGGTATTTTTACATTGAAATCCTTTGATATGTCAGTCGAAAGAAAATTAATAAATAACTATTTTGTTAATCAATTCATTGTCCAAGTCATTTTTTAAACAGAAATGCGATACTACCAAATTCTAAATGTAAGAATTTGCATCTTTACATGATAGTAAATTGAATAATTTGGGGTTTTGGACTGGTGATTGGGCAAAACAAGATGTTTGATGAAGTCACTTCAGGCTCTATTATTGAATAATAGAAAATAATCATTAATTGCATACTTAAAATACTTAAGTGGTGCTCATATACAGGGCTACTTAATATGAATGAGCACTAAAAGGTTCTCTGTCTGTCCCAGCTCAAGGAAGTCTAGACACTTGTAAAAACAAATTGGATTCAAGTATGAGATCATTTATTTACACTTTTACACACTATTGTCCATAAAAGTAAACAATGGTGCTGATGTTTATAGGACTGGACAATAAATACAATTTTCTGAATCACCAACACACAACTCTTATTGACCTTAATTTACACATTTTACGTACATATCACATCAGAAATGAGACAAACTGAGTAATGAAATATCATCCACAGATGTTGATATGTGATATTACATGAAATTATTAATTAATGCATTTATTTTATCTCTGAGCATTTTCTATTGATATTTCAGGAGTTGCACCAACTTTCCCAGAGCTCAGTTAATAATGTTGAGGGTTTGTTTTGCCTCAAAAGTGTTTAACTGCTATAACTGCAAGTTAAAGTTCACGGTCAACTTGTGTCTGTACATTTAACTAGTTTTGCTGGTAGCAGAACGGGAATTGACAGCGAGAATGCACAGACTTGTGACGGATGAACAGATAGGAGGCTTGTTTTGCATGCTTTCCCTTATCTGCTACTGTATTACCTGTGCTGAAGTTGAAAAGATGGCATGAGCTTCCTTGACATGGGCTCTTCATAAGATTAGCACTATTGTTTAACTTAGAACCTTTTTGTATTTATTAGCAGAGTAGTAACATTAGATGTATTACTGTATATAGCATATTAACACATTTCCCCCCGGGGATCAATAAAGTATTTCTGATTTTGATTCTGATATGCAGTATACCAGCATGCACTTCTGTGGGGAAGTTGTGGACAGTCAAGTATTCAGGTGTTGTTTATGTTCGAGGAGCTGTCAGTAAGCTGGAAGGTGAAAAGGTGTGTCTTAATTTGATCATCCTGGGTCGCAGCTGTTTCATGTATTGAGGTAGGGGTGTGTGTGTGTTAGTGTGTGTGTTAGAGGTTCCTGTAACCAGAGACCATGTTTGTCTCTCAGTGAAAAGCTGTCCTGACCTTCTCTGATCTCGCTCTCTCTGCCCACTTCAGGATGATTACGTCTGAGCTAGAGTTACACACATGTGATTATGCACGTGCACACACACATACTTATACACGCACATTTATCAAACATCTATCCAGTACTTATAAACTCACATTGTCCTTGTTATTCTCCATCACTTCATCCATCTCCGTCTCTCTGTAACACACACACACACACACACGTAGATCAAGTGTCTCTTGATGCCATATCTGCTAACGACAAAGGCAGTCTAGCCAAATGTCGCAATATGCCCATGGGAGCGGCTCTACAGGCTGTCAGGAGCAGCATAATGAGCTATCTTGTTGCCATTACTCTGCACTGGTCCGTGGTAGGATCACATTGGACAGCTGTTGATGTCTTCTCACTTTAATCCCTCTGGAATTATAATCCAGTTTGTTGCACTGTCAAGATTGAAGTTGATGAGGAAACTTTTTTTTTTCTCTTTCTCCTGTTCTTTGTCCTTTCAGGCTCATCGCCAGCCCATTAAGCAAATGTTTAGGTGTGAAAGACCGGATTCGGATTCGAGCCGCTTCCATCCCAAAGCTGGAGACCTTCTACAAACAGAACAGTCGGCAACCATCACAGGTTCGTATTCCCATTTTTGGACAAAAGATCTCTCTTCTGTCTACTCATTCATTTCCATTCCTATTTAAGATCCCCCTGCTTTTAAGTCTTCAATTTGGTTAACTCACTAATCTCCTAACAGGTGTCCTCTTATGTTCATCTGGATATCCTTAAATTAATACCTTGCATTCACAGTAATAAACTTTACAAGAAGCAGCAAGTACTTAGTGAATTGTTTTTGCCCCAAGCTTCACTTCACAGGCTTCAAACCGGCTGCCCTAACTTTGTTCATATGTATCTGAAAAGAAGGATCTGCAGAATTGGGGCTGAAAAAAAGTACTGCCACCTTGTCTGAGTGTTTTCAGTTGTTCAGGGGGGAAAAAAAAAAAAATATCATCTATATTTTGATATACAGTTAATACTCTCCTAAAAAAGATGCTAGAGCTGAACATAAATCAAAGATAAGGCAGTAAAGGACATGGCTCTTTTTGGTAATGACACAAATGTATCTATTGACTGGTTAGGGTTAGGGCTAAGGCTTAAAAGCATTTTTTTTTGAAGAAGGAACACTTCAAGCATGCAGAGCACAATAATAAAAAGAGAGGAGAATGTTAATGTTAATAAAAACATCATACAGGACCCCATTACATGATTAGAAATGTGATTGTAAGTAAGTTGGGAGTTCTCACCATGAGTCTCCCACTCATAATGCTTAGTGTGTTTGGAACAGTCACCTGCCTTGAAGGAAATTGCATGACCTGCTAATGCAAACGTGTGGGAGTTTGCATACATTTTCAGACCAAATTGCAGGAAGTGCAAGGACTGATGGGAAAGTGTGTGGGCAGGACTGAGACAGTTTTATATATGTTGGTAGTGTGAGTTATGTGTGTCTGGGTTTTATCTCGGCCAAAGAGCTTGATGAGCTGTCTCGGAACAAGGAACTGATAAAAACGGGAAGTCCCCAGATATTCACCTAGAGTCACACTGATGTGTTACAAAGGTACAATGATTAGTCATGAAATAGGAAATTTTAAAGTTTTAAGTGTTAAGTGTGTTTCCTCTACAGTGTGAGAAAATGTTCCTTCCTTTAAACAGCTCTGCCATCATTATGTTGTCTAATAAACCTCAGTTGTCATTGTCACCTTTTATTGCCATCATTTCCCTTTGTGAAACTATTAATCAGAATGTTAGTGAACCAAAAATGTGCATAAAAAAATAGGTGAATAACAATACAATCACTGCATAATCACAATTGTGCCTTTGTGCAAACTACGCTGTATTATTTTCCCTTAATCAGTGAACAGGTGCAGGCAAGTTGCGATGAGGTACAGGTTCACATGGGAATTTTCAGCCCTCCTCTTTGTTTCATTTGGCACTGCCACACTGATCTTCCTGTGCAGACAAGCAGCGTTCTGTCCTGTCAGATATGTCAATACATGATTTGACATATTAAATGAAAATTCACTTCTCCATCAGCACTGTTCTGTCTGTCTATGTCTGTGTGTGTTCATATGCATAATTCCACTCGTGCCACTGTGCCCTGACTTATTTGCAATTCATCTATTTCCATGTGGCCTGGACTAGCAGCAGCAACGCCCGCGTTATGTGTGTTGTCACCACAGACATATGACTGAATAGAGAAAGTACTGTGATATACATTTGTAATAAGTATTTGGATTACACAGTCAGGGTTAAATGTTGCACCCTAAGTATTCTTGCCTTCAAAATGTATCCTTTAATACAACACAGGTCTTTTCAACAGCAACACACCACCCTGTCAAGTATCAGGATGCAAAAAGAGAGAGCAGACAGACATTGTTACAGACTCATCAGCACAGAACAAATGCTTGGATCATGCACATTTATCATTGTAGGAGTCCTCCATTTTGACTGGTCAAATATGCAGCTTGTATGATCTGCATTTCCGTGTAATGAATGTGTAACACAGCTGTCAGAGACATCGACAAGGAGGTCTGGTTGGTAATATATCACGTATGAAATATTCCATCTCAGGGAATGATAGAGCTGCCAGCAGCATAAAACATTTACTGTCTGACCCTGTATGTGTGCACCCATAATGTATGTGTGAATATGTATTTTTGTGTATTCAGAGTGAGGTGGTAAGCTTGGGGAAGCAGTGTGGACTCTCCCAGAGAAAGATCCAGACCTGGTTCAGACACAGAAGGAACCAGGACCGACCCAGCAACACCAAAAAGTTCTGCGAGGCCTCGTGAGTTTTTCTTATCTGAAACACAGTTGTGTATGTCTGTCTCTCAAAGCTGTAGCAGGCTAAATGTTTAATGGAAAGTACAACAATCCTGTCAGCCAAAAGGTTAAAGTGGAGCTGCAGGAGAGCTGAGCGTCTCACCACTCTGTAGATGTGCACTGTGGAGCTAACTGCAGGTTTGTTGCCTGTGTTGTGTACAGGCAACAACACAGAGTTTAGAGTTTACTGATGTCATGTTACATGATGTCTGTGGGAAAGGTTGCTGCTTAGTTCGCCATCAATCACCACACAAAGTGCTATCTTTGAATTACATCAGTGAAATTCAGCATGTTAAACCTTTCATATTTATGTGAATAGACAGTACAGCTGTCTAAGATCTTTCTTTGAAATTTCTTCAATTTGTTCCCGATAAACTAAATCATTAATTTAATTTATACCATAGCCTCTAACTAATGATGTTGTTTATTTTTATCTGTGCAGCTGGCGTTTTGTCTTCTATCTCGTAGCGTTCACTGGAGGGCTCGGCTCTTTAATTAATGTAAGTCTGTTAGTCACTTTTATTTCTTTTAAAAGATAAGCAGGCCTTCATTACAGATACAATGTGTGGGAATAGTAATGGAATGCTTATGATTATTTGATCTTCCAGACTTCATGGTTCTGGGATGACAGCGAGTGTTGGAGGGGATATCCCAAACAGGTGAGCAGGAAATAGCGTGATTTTAATGTTCTGATGTTGTTTATATATATAGTATATATAATATATATAGACACAATCAGGAAGTATTTAAAGAAACAGCCTGTCCTCTTACATCAAGTATCTTTCTTTTATTCCAGAAATGCCAGTAGGTACTTTCAGTTGATATCTTGTTGTATTAGTAGTATTGAAATGATTATTAGATTATTGACTAGTCGTTCAACAAGATTATGAACTGAATATGTTTGGCTTCGGACTGTTGGTTGGACAAAACATCACCTATGGGCTATTTGAACTTGCAATGGGCATTTTTCACAATTTCCTGACAAATTATAGTCTAAATAATCAATGAGTTGAATATATATATACATATATATATATATATATATATATATTTTACAAAATTCTACCTTTCTTTTCCTTTAGCACAACTTGGACACACACTAACACACTTAAAAGAAAAGTGAGCAGAAAAAACAACAGCTGGGAGTGAACCAAGAAAACAAAAAGTCTTTAGTCTGTGTTGAAGGATTTAGCCACAGAAGATGTTGGGTTTCTAACACAGTTTGGTCAGTGCACTCCACCCACCCACTAACTTTCATCTCAATCCCTTTACTTCCTTTGAAGTTGGCTTGAATGCTTTTGTGTTTGCAGGGGTTTTTTTGCACTCTGAGCCTGAAAAGCCAATATCTCTTCTGTTTCAGTGACAGTTAGTCATGCCTGCAGGTCAACATTCCTGCAGGGAAGACAGTCCTTCCTTGTGGGGTCATGGCCTCCAACAGAAAACACTAGAAAAAAATGCCAAGCTCTCTATCTGCAGTTTGACTGATTACAGTTTGATCGCTCCTGCAGGCAAAACTGCCTCTGAACTTTTTTTGTTCCCTTTCTGAGGTCTCGTGGACTCTGACAGAGAGAAAGGATGTGTTTTTAGTGGTTAAATGCCTCAGCCAACTTCCTACTATTGTGGTTGTGCAGACTTGTGACAGACTGATGCAGTGTGTTCTGTAGGAGGTATTTTGTTTAGAGATAGTGCACCACCACTTTCTATGAATAAAAACATTTGAGGTTGACAGTTTTGTTTATACAGTATGTTCTTTATATGTTCTTATTGGACCATTAAGAGCTTTTGGAACTTCTGTTTTTCACGCACACACATAAACAAACCAATCAAACAGGGTGAACCTGTAAATGCTCAGTCGTGTGGAATCCTGGGTAGTTTTAGGACAAAGGGCGCTTTTGAGGGTCCCATTACCTCCAAAATCCCACAAATCGTCAGATCTTTGTCAGCACACACACGCAGGAGGGGCCAGAACTGTGCAATATCAGTTCATTCTGCTCTTTTAGCTTTATCATACATCTACAGCATGTTTTCCTGTGGCTACACAGATAAGCAGGATGATGGAAATGCTTCTGTTGCAACCACATACCACTCAATTTAAATTCTAAATTTTTGTTCTGACTCTCTCTCTCTCTCTCCGTAGCCGGTGGCCGAGGCTCATCACTGGTATTACATCTTGGAAATGGGCTTCTATGTGTCATTGCTTCTGTGTGTCTCTGTGGATGTCAAGCGAAAAGTGAGTGTGAGCTTGGTTTTCATACAATTGAATCTCACTGCAACATCCTGATGGTTTTCAGATGGTTTCCTGTGCACTTCCTCTCATTTTGTGACTGAGATTTGAACTTTTAGTCAAATGTTCAAAACCAAAAAGCTAAATGTCATCACTCACTCACTCATTCCACAGTATAATCCAAATGTTGTTTTTCTCTTGCGAGATTATACTTAATACGGATTATGCATCAGATTATCTGCTGTTACGTCATTACTTTGTGTACTTTTCATTTGGTGTCATTTTAAAACTTGAGTGTGGCAGGATTTGAAATCTTTTGCACATACTGTAAATCAATTTACTCCAGACTCCTTTTAAATGTGCTCTACACTACTCAGTTAGTCTTTGCTATATTGCTAAACTGCTTTATATACAGAAATATAGAGTTTCAATGTAATTCATCTATTTTTCATATTTTAAGGAAACCACTTCAGATGCTTTCTTAGGCAATTTCCTAAATTCTGGGAGAAAAAAAGGTTTTGTGTGGTACACCAGACGTTCCAAGCTGTTGATCAAAGATATTTTGAGCAAATCACATCAGACAACATGTAAATTTGCCGTCCCAATACTTGGACACAACAGATGCACAAGGCCACAGATGGAGAGCTGCTGAAGTCATGGTTACGCTACCGTATATCCTCCTCATACTGTGTGGTCTCTGTGTGTTCATGCGTGTGTTCCAGGATTTCAAAGAGCAGGTGATTCATCATATCGCCACCATATTCCTCATTGGTTTCTCCTACTGTGCCAACTTTGTGAGGGTTGGCACTCTGGTGATGTTGGTGCATGACTCTTCTGACTTCCTTCTGGAGGTAAAACACCACACTCAAATTTCACAACTGTGATTGTGTACTTTAAGTTTGAGGAAAGGAAAATACAATTAGGCATAATTGAAATGTTTTGCAATGCCAGAAACAGTCACAGACTTGACTTGAATACAGTCAATGTGCCATTTATTGTTGAAGTTTTCCTATCCTTACACTCTAACACATTGTGACTGTACATCCGGTTTAAACCAAGCTGCTCATAGAAAAGCATGAAAGTCATTTGTCAATTGTAAAAATAAGAATACTCTTTGTGGCTGTAAAAAGTCCCTCAGAAAACAATAGGCCCATTGTCCTTGGTTTAATGTGGCTGATTTTCCTGGGTGTAACATTTCACTGATAGCATCTGAAAATCAAGACTGACACTGTCACCTCAGATGAGGAAATATGTAGAGCTAGTCACATGACCTCAGGCGTTACTGGGTGTTGTCTGGCACTAAAGGGACAGAAAAGTGGTAACTTAATAACTACAGATTATTAATGGCATTTTGGCCTGTGGAAGTCTATTATGAAATATATTGCCTGAATTCATTCATCTTTGTCCTGCCACTCATTTTGTAACTGGTAATTTAAATGATGGAGATCTCATTTTAGAGTAAAAGCTGTTAATTTCCTTTCAATTTTTAACACTGTTTCTAGGACTGTTAAAAACTGTAAGAGTGTCTCGTCACTCTTTTTGTGATTACTGATAAGTGACAAGCACCTTTTCTTCTGAAAGTCTGCCAAGATGTTTCACTATGCTGGCTGGACGAGGACGTGTGACTCGCTGTTTGTCATCTTCGCTCTGGTCTTCCTGGTGACCAGGCTGGTGGTGCTACCTGGCAGGTAAAACATGGTGGAATATGATTATTATTAGGATATTATTGATGTATTTTTGCATTGTTTTCTCTCAGTTTTTAATTAAAATTGTGTCCAGATGTTGAAGTTTCCCAGAATCAAACACATGGTTTTGGACATAGCCTCAAACTAGGGAGTCACCTTGTTTTTCTGCAGTGGTCATTTGGTTTGGACGTCTGTGTCGTAGCAATAATACAGTCAAGTACAAGTCAGTACTTACAATACAAGTCAGCTTTCACACAGATTTTTATCTTGCATCATACAGTGGCACTTTTAAAAAGTTTTTGTACTTCCTGTAGCAATTGTACTAATGATTTGTTGGAACTGTCAAGGATGTGCTCCGTTGCTCACCCAACTTTGTCTATGTCATCTCGTATTTCCTCATGCATCTTTGTCCTTTTCTTTCTCTCCCACCGACTTTACATCACTGGTTTCTTAGCTGAGAGCAGCAGATTTACAGTCCATGTCAAAGAATTGATTCTGCCAGTTGTGAAACAGTACTTGAGTGATTCACAGTGCTCTAAACCTTTCAAGTCTGTGCTGGAACAATACTAAAACCGACTGTTGCTCACTGTGTTTGTTTACCAGAGTGCTCTACTCAACCCTGGTAGTATCTCTAGAGTTCTTCGGCCCCTTCCCTGGTTATTATTTCTTTAATACGCTGCTGTTAGTGCTGCAAGCTCTCCACATCTTCTGGGCTTATCTCATCCTGCGCATGGTCTACAAGTTTGTGTTCCTGGGCAAGGTGAGAAGAGTGCAAATGAAAAGGGAAGGACAATAAGTGCAGTATTTGGGCACCAAAAAATTTTTATTAACTTATTTACTTCCTTCATAGGTGGAGCGTGATGAACGTAGCGATGAGGAGAGTGAAGTGGATGATGAGGAGGAAGAGGAGGAGCCTGAGGAAGAAGGGGACGAGTGCAGCTGGGAGCAAAGAAAAGGTGCAATCAACTCCAAACTGGCATCGCTGGCTAACAACTGTGTCCTGAACAACCTCACCAACCAGAGGAATATAAACAGCAGACTGCCCAAAGCCAGATAGTGGAGCAGTGTCCTTCCACATCTACCAAGCCTCACTGGAAGAAAAAAGTAATTTTTCCCTCCCGCCTATTGGAGATTAACTCATGTCTGACATATGATACATACATATGGCTTGTGTACATCCAACATGGTCCATTGATGATTTCTGATCAGGGTAAGTCTGCATCTTGCTTATCTTGAAAAAAAGAGGGCAAAGCACAGATGATTGTAAATCTGCACAACCAGTGTGAGATTAGGAAGAAACACCATCGTTACTGTCACCCATACCACTGCATACTATAAAAATATATTTGGCAAAAAAAATCCTTTACAACAAACCATATGAGTTCTTTTTGCAAATTTTGCATTTCTGTGGTTTCTTTTCATTGAACTATAATAACTTGTTTGTAAATACATAAGCATACAAGTACGTGGGCTGTGCTATAATACATCCTTTCTGTTGAACAAGAAAAACTAAATGTTTTTTATACAAAATCAAACTGTTCTAATCTAATCTGTGGTATAATATGTTTTAAACAGAGCAAACTAAAACCTAGAATTAACAGTAATTCACTCCCACAGCTTTGTATCCACATACATGATATGGTTGATTGTACATAGACTATTAAAAACATTGATTGTAGTAAATCTGTTGATAAACCACTTTATATATCTATTTTTTATGAACCAATTACTCAACAGGTCATTTTATGTTGTAATCTGTGACAGAATATAAAAGGCTACTGAAGAAGTCCTTTAGGGATGATAAAATTATATTTTTCTGTTTGAGCTTACTCCTTAGAAAAGATATGACGCCCTCTGGTGCACAATGAAGAACATATCCTTGTAGAGAATCCACTCCCTATGTCTGATGAAATGATTCCTTTACAAAAAAAATGTTACTGCTCCTAGAAATATGGACCTGAAGCTATATGTGTATGTGTTTGTTTTTGTTTCTTTTTCTACTTTGAACATTGTGACAGGCAGCATGGTTTCTCAACAAGGTTTTTGTTAAGGTTTGCTCTACTGGACTTTAGTTTTGTGCCTTGGCTGCTGTTTTTTACACTATTCTGTGACAAGCACTTGATATTAAGCTCTGTGTGTAAGTAAAACAAACACACGGGCCAAGCCTTACTGTGACTGGTTCTGATGTTTTGTGTGAAATGTTGGTAAGGCTGCTGGTGCCTAGGTAAAACTTAAGTATGCATACAGATGGGCATTAGTGAAATGTGAGGTATTTTAGATAGTAGAGTTGTCTACAGAGGTCAAATGCTTTATGGCTCAGATAAAGAAAAGTTTTAAGATTTAATGGTTATTATAAAAGACAATGACATATTTTCATATGATTAGGCTGCATTCTACAAGAGCTGGAGTTTACATGTGTTTAAACTGTAAGCTTCTTCTTGGCTTGGTTCCAACCATCATAAACTATAGTACACTCACAGTAATTCACTACCAAAACACTGGTATTACATTTTCATAGGTTAGTGAGGGCAACTCTTTAAGATTTGTGTCTTACGTGTCTGCATACTGCATCGAACAATATTTTATATAAAGGAGTAGGAGCAGAAGCAGGGACTTGTGGCAGTGGGGGCTACAACACAAGGTTGGATTTAGGTTGTAGAGCACTAAAAGGGCTGATCCACTGAATAACACACCCATGACCCCCACTAGAATACTGCTTTTTTTTAAATTAAAAATAGAAAACCTGGTGAAATATAATGTTTCAATGAAAGTGACTATGAAATGTTCTCTTATGACTGCACCCAAATGCTTTGTTGATTGTGTTGTCAGTTGAAAAGTTTTAATAAATGACTAATATTTAAAATTAGCACTGCTGTCTTTCAAGTGTGGTTTACTAGTATTGAATATGTGTTCATTCAATCTATTTTTAGATTTTTTTGTTCTATGAAATGGCTTTTCATTTGTTTTATTTCAAATGACCTCTTACATAAAAATATATATGGCAAGTGCTCTGTTTAAGACAAGAATGACACTTCCAATATACACATATACATAACTACAAATTTTGTTATGTAGAACAAAAAAATGCATTTTCATTCGGTCAAATCACACACTGTCAAGTGACCATTCTCATGGTGACACACCCTCTGAGGGGCACTGGGCAGGGTATGGCATCGTCCACCTCAATGCACGTGTCTATGTAAGGGTCCATCAGAACCATGTTTGGGAATGCTTTGTTGCTCTTCTTCTCACTGACCAGGTATATCTGGCTGCTGACTGTTGTGCAGCCAGAGAAGAACTTCCTGTCCAGACATTCCTCCTCCTCCAGCACAGTCCACTCATCTGTTTCCACGTCAAAACGCAAGGCTTGGCCTCCAAACAAGTAGAGGGCACCGTTGAGCTCCGTGGCAACCAGGTCATAACTGCGAAAAGGGTAAACAAAGCTAAAGCAAAAAAAACTACAATATACTAATGAAGAAATGTCTGATTGACATTGGCAAAAAGCAAAGCAGAAGATTGACACTCACCGTGGAAATGGAGAATAAGAGACCACATCCCACTGATCCTCCTTCACCATATATCTCTGGATTCCACCATACGCCTCCCCATTTTCATCCAAGCCACACGCCACGTAGATACATGACCCCAGAGCGGCAGTGGCTGCCCTCTCCACAGCCCTAACCATGGGGCTGACTGCTTCCCAGCCCTCCTCTGACCCTAGGACCAGCCTTTCTACATCATCCACAAGCCCTTCGTCCATGCTACCCCCCAAGACATACAGTACTGAGTCCAGCCCTATGGAGCAGTGGCTGTGCCTGGATTTCTGCAGGGCCGGTCCGTCCACCCAGCGCTGGTTACCACATTCGTATATCCTGACCCAATCCACACAGAACCACAACACGTCCCGGAAGTGGCCACCTGTCACAACCACATTGTCCCCTACATAATGAGAGAATCAGAAAATTATGATAGTAAATACATGATAATTCTAATGGTTATTATACGTATGTGGTATTATTTTGCATTTACATTTTCCAATGAAGAATAAATACACATTCAGCCTCTCACTCATCATCAGTTTCATTCTCATCTCATGATTCAACCATTACCTACTGCAGCTACCGAGTACTGTGTGAGGTTCTTCCTCTGCAGAGGTGCACAACTCTGCCATCTACCACTGAGCGGGTGAAACTGGTACAGTGCCTGTTGCTCCTGATCATGAGGGCCACCCAGGACAAAGAGGGTCTCTCTGGCCCTGGTTCTCTTCAGTGACCTCCCCACTGACCAAGATGCTGGGAAATGTTCATTAAGCATGTAGATGAGCTTGGCTCTGGGGTCAGAGCTTTTCATTCTGGTCAAAAGTTCAGTGATAAATGGTAAAGAGAGCGACTCAGGCCTCACCAGTTCAATGAGTTCCAGAAAATGTTCTTCTCGTTTTGGGTCAAATGACACCCAACGCAGGGTGGCCTCCAGGGCGAAATCATCTTTATGGATGGCCAGGTCATCACTGGCAAGTAAATCTGCTATCGCCTCCTTAGACAAAGACAGGAAGTCCTCTTCAGCGACAATAGCAGAGAAGTGTGTGAGCACCACCTGTCGTGCTGCCTTGTAGAGCTGAGTGCAACCCAGCCTCCAGGCATAAGCCATCATTCCCAGACAGTTACTGAGGTGCAGCTCACGCTCCAGGAACTTGCAGCACAGCAGCCTCGCTTGTTCCAGTTGTAGAAAGTCTGCAGTTTCAAAGATCCCTAGAACATTTTCTCTGTCCAAAACAAGGTTGGATGTCCTGCTGTATTCCATCAAAACCCTGAAATACTGAAGGCCCACACCTTTGATCTCAACCCTCTTTTTGTTTCTCTCTACACCACAGCCGAAAAACAGAGCCCTGAAGTAGGGACTCTGGAGGGCCAGTTGCTGACGGTTGACATAAAAATCCTCTCCTTCTACCCGTAGAGTAGTATCAGGGATTACATCAGGCTCTTTCATATGTAAAGCAGAGTCATCTTCCATAAGTTGGTTTATCTGTTCAGAAAGAACTGTGACTTTAAAGCTTTCAGGTTTAAGCTCGGCGTCAGCTCTGCAGGCCATGTCACAAGAAACAGACACACCAGCCGTCTTCTGCATAGTGCCTCGTCCTCGTTCTGGTTTACAACAGACCAGCTGGCGATATTAATAGACTTTCCCCCTGACTGACTGCCGGCTAAACACAACAAGAAAATGGAGGTCAGTTTGAAAAACAGGAGCAAATTATAAAACAGGGAGTACGGGGAGTTACAACTTAACATTGGGTGTTTGCTTATTAGACTCAAATCAACAATAGAGTCAACAACCTATTAAACAACAAACCCGTGACGTCACATTCAGGCGCTCAGCGATTTGATTGGTGGAACGTTTGTGAGGTCAGAGTTTAACTTCCGTGTCACACGGCTAACATGGCGGTGAGTTCGTTTGGTTTTCGCTTTCATTCAAATATCTTCTTACCTTTGCAGCCACAAACACTCCCAGGGGTGTCTTCAGTTAGTATATAATATGTGTAATAAATCCGAACATGTCCTGAAATGTAGAAGAAGTGCTCGAAAGCAACACGCGGTGTTATTCTTACATTTGCTAACTTGGCTAGCCGGGCAAAGCTAACCTCGGGCTAAGTCAGTGTTTGTGCGCGGCTAGCGTGCGTGTGAGTGGGTCACCAACAATGTCCCTCTGCTCTGTGCAGGATAAAGAAAAGAAGAAAAAGGAGAGCATCTTCGACTTGTCAAAATACATCGACAAGCCGATTCGTGTGAAGTTTCAAGGCGGACGAGAGGGTAGGTGGCCAATGCTAACCAGGTTAGCCGGTGGAAACGGTGCATGTAGACTGAATGAATCCGGAGTAATGTGAGCTTTACACTGTGTATTTCCCTCTCAGCCAGCGGTGTCCTGAAGGGTTTTGATCCTCTGTTGAACCTGGTGCTGGACGGCACAATCGAGTATATGCGAGGTAAGTTAAATATAAGTTAAATGAAGGAACATTGTAATAGGTAATGTCCAGTGGTGTAGTCTAGTTTATTGTAGTGGGTGTACTGTGATGATTCCCTCCCAGACTCGTACACACACGTCCCGGACCGACACCCCATAAGCACCACCACACTCACTAACCAGCGGCTTACATGCACCACACATAATTGAAAGCATTCTGAAAGACTGGGTATGTACTATATCAACAATTTATTATAAGCAACACAAGCCAATAAACTGATCACAGTTTTCTATATAAAATCTTAATCTGAGAAGTAACTAGAAACTAAAAGCTGTTAAATCAATGTAGGGACTAAAAAGTACAATATTTGTCTTTAAATGTAGTGAAGTAATTACATTAACATTTTATGCTACTTTATACTTCTAGTATAAAGTAGAATGAACACTGTACTAAATTCAATTTTGAGGTACTTGTTAGCTACTTTAATAGCATAAAATGTAAATACTCAAGTAAACAACAAGTAAATTAAAGTGTTTTTAAATTCCCTAGCTTGACTCCTAGTCCACAAGGCTGGCCAGCCAGTTCTCATCTAAAAGAAACAAGGAGATATACAGTGGGATAAAAGCATTGTATTCTGTTGACTACTGGACCCCCCACACGCACGCGCGCGCACACACACACACAAAGAAGCGCTCAAGGGGAGGGAAAAAAAGAGCGGTAGAGCGCACAGGGTGAATTTTATGGAGGGGGAAAGAGGAGACGCATTCCCCCTGTAAAAAGTATCTTATTGCAGTTATTTACCAGGTATTTGCGAAACAAAATCACTGAAGTTAAAGTTCTGTCAAAAAACTATTTACGGATCTTTGCGCATTTTTAAGTGGGTATACGGAAATCCTGGAGCTTTCTTAGTGGGTATACGGCGTATACCTGCGTATCACGTAGACACCACGTACACCACTGGTAATGTCATTAGGTGCAACATGACATAAGCATGTTATTAAACTATAGAGAAAAACCTCCATCTGACAACTTGAACTAACCCTAAAAGAAAGAAAATACTCTTAACGTGTATAACCTTGTCAAAGTCTGCGCCTCTTCTTATTTAACCTGATCCCAACCTTGAGCTTCACCTAAAGTAACTTAGTAATCTCTGTAACACCAAACCATAAACTGTCATTAAGCCTAAATTGTACCCTAATCAATAAATGTGAGCACTAAATTAACACTAAACTGCACATGTACAGTTTAGTTTTTTAGTCAAGCTGCTTTAAATATTTTTTGAATTGTACACCATTGTACTGCACATTGCATATAGTGCAATATATATATTTTTCATTTGTAGTTTTATATTTTCTATTATATTTTGTAACATTCTTATTTGTGATACTATTGTATGCACACTGTCCTCTTTTTATTGCAGACGTGCTGCATTAAATGTAGATGTTATTGTGCTATATCTTAAAATAAAATAATTAACGCGTCCTCCAAAAAGCCTACATTTTGCTGACTTTCTATTAATGTAGTGTATTAGGGTTGTTTAGGCTCAATGTTCACTGTGGGTCATCCACCTGTGGATGCACGAGACTGAACTAAATGGGGACCCATCACACACAAAAGTATTGCTCCATAGCACAACTAGTAGTGGAAGAACTCCACACGGTACCTCTTTAATAAGAACAGCTTCATATGTATCTTTAACTCTTGTCTATCCAGATCCAGATGACCAACTGAAGCTGACAGAAGACACCCGGCAGCTGGGCCTGGTGGTCTGCAGAGGAACCTCCGTAGTGCTCATCTGTCCTCAGGACGGCATGGAGGCTATACCAAACCCGTTCATACAGCAGCAGGATGGCTAACACAGTCGTCACACACACAATTACAACCATGCGCACACACTTTTGTGGGGGTTTTTTTTGTTGTTTTATTTTTAAAACATAACAGTAATAATGTGTATGACAAAACAAATTTCTGTTTAAAATCATAAGTTGATCAGCAAAAGGACACTTGAAAGCACTTCACTTTTGTTTCTGTCTGTGATGTGAAAGTTTGCAAAGATTTGAGTTGTCAAGAGCCCACAAGTTTGGGAAATGTTAACAGTACCATTTTCTTTTTATCCAGAATTAGTCATCTTTTTACTATTCTTTGTTGTTTTTGATAAGAAAATAAAATGAAAATGTATATAGAGTGTTGTCAGTTTTGTTCTCCCTTGTTCATGTGTGTGTTGGATATATGGGTGGAGAACTGTATAGACTACATGTGATTCAGAGAACCCTAAAGGTTGCAGCAATTTAATGAATACTGAATACTGAACACTGAGCTGCTGTTTTCTGTGTGGTTCTCCAGCCTTTTCCAGTAGGGTTTATATCCAATTCAGCTGTCTGTTACTTGTGGTCTGTCTATAGCTCAGTGCCACTGCTGTCTAATTTGACCATAAAAATAAAAGTCTTGGCCATAATAAAACAACTGGACGCAAACTAGCTAAAGCTAATTTACACGTGAACTCCTTTAATAATCACAGAAGCCAATAGTTTCATATATATTTCATAACACCAGCCAAATAGTTCAGATCCCTTGATAGACTTCTTAACCATTTAATGGTAGTCTTTGGACAAACCGCTGGATTGCCTGCAGCTCAAGTAACAAGTATTTCATTGTGATCTTTCAAAGTGTTTAAATGGTGTGTCTGTGTGTGTGAAGATAAGCCATTCGAGCCTGTCTGCACGCTGACAAAGAGACATTTGTGGTCATAACTGCTTTGAGTTGAAAGTGCTTTAGGCAGGGTGGGGGAATAATGTAAGTAGACTGATTTACCTTTGTTAGGATTGTTCATTTAGGGTGGCTGGCAGGGGGGATTTTTTGTTGTCCATTACCTCAAACAAAAATTTACATACAGACAAGTAATTTTAAATGGACTGTAAAACACAAAATATTAACTTGTAATACTAATACTATTTCAGTATTTTTCTTGTGAACAGTACACCCTGAATTGGGCTCCAACATTCACTCAACATATTAGATGTGACTATAAAACATTCTTTTATAGCATCATAGAATTGTGAATAAAATACTCCCTAATGGAGTTTAATCTACTTCCACTCTCAGTGTCAACCTAAGTGCAGTAGGTTAATGAAGTCCCAGAAAAGGCACCTTAACTGATTAGAGAGGCTGTAATCCTGGTAAAAGAACCCACCATGGTTTGCCAGGTGTTGTGAGCCCTGGACATGCAGCCAGAAGTAAAAAGGCAGAATTCCAGGAGGCTTCGCCCCTCCTCTGCTGCTCAGTCACTGTGTCAATGGAGCAGAGGCAGGCAGCAACTAGAGGGAGTACTGGGCTCCACTGAACACTTCTTTTTATGTCCAATCTTTTTCAGGCATTACTTTTTCAAACTTTCTGTAACGTGCGTTGCATAAAGGAGATGTTAATTATTTACCTGGAGATTATGGGAGCTCTGAGGTGACAGTAGAAAGGCCTGTGCACACCGGGGTGTAACCAAAGGGATCAAGACCGATGGGAGGAGGTTCGGTAGGGGATTTCTGAAGCTGAGCCGACTTCCTAAAGTAAACTGAAAAGGTGACCTACCTGCGGGACGGACACGACACGCCCCCTTGGCAGGTGGAACAAATAGCGGAGCTCTTGGTCCTTGTCTTCCTCCATGCATGTATCTATTCATGTGTGCGCCAAGTCATGCACTGAGAGCTGCGGGATATTGTGAATGTCAGTGTTCAGAGGAATGAGAGAAGAAAAAGGTGAGTGAGTTTACTTCAGAACATAAAGCCTGTATTGTGTAATGGTCCCCACTGGAGTCGCCGTGCGTAATTTGCCTGTGCAGAGAATAATGGATTTCCTCGTTGATTCAATGTATTCATTGAAAACCTGTTATCCGTGGAACTTTAGAGACGTTAACTTGTTTTTAGTGTGACCTTTCTCCACATCTGATTTGTGATCGCCAGGTAACATGGCCTCCGTGATCTCTTTTACGCACAGCCGTACAATCTCAGCCAGCTCTCCAGAGCAGAATTACTGTTTGATGTTTCTGTCTTAACGATTTTACAATCCTCACGTCTGTGTGTGTGTGTGTGTGTGTGTGTTATTTTCTTATATGGGCATCTGTATCTAGAGTTTAAATTTAACAACGTGTCTCCCCAGTAAGCTACATTTCCGAAGTGGGACCTTATTCCTTGAATGTTTGGAACATATTTATTT